ATATTTCTTTTTCAAAAACAGTTTCTGATAAGTTCAGTTCCCACTCCCTGGAAATTGCAACACAACGTAACCACCACAACATCCCCTCATCCTGAATGGTCCACTCAAGGATGACTTTTATCACTAGGTAAAATCAGCAACTTGGCAAGAACAAGAAAGAGAACTCCAAAGTCTATTCCAAGGGAGACTGAAAAGAACTGAAAAGTAACAACAAAGTTGGAAAAGGCAAAAACTGCTTATAACTGATCTTTTTAGTTTACATCTAACAAAAATGTCTACTTGTCAGAGTAATTTTTCCAGAATGAAACCTTTAAGTGTTTTTCTGATTGAAATCCTTAAATAGTTCCTTAAGCCCTACAAGATAAATTCCAAACTTCCTGGAATGTATGTGGCCTGGCCTTTCCTATCTTTAATCTCCAGAATGTTCAACTACTTGGTAACAACTACCAGTAGTCAAACCTTTGTATATTTCTCACACTGCTCCACCTACTTGGAATGCTTCATCCGGGGTGTGTGTGTGTCTGTGTCTCTCTCTCTCTCTCTCTCTCTCTCTCTCTCTCTCTCTCTCTCTCTCTCCTCTCGATTTTAATACAGTATGATAGGTACCAGAATGAGGCAAGCAGAGTGCTATGGAAAGGAAGAGCAATGGGGCTCACCTAACCAGCAGAGTGGTACAAAGAAGACAGAGAGGAACTCTAGGAACTAGGGAACTAAGCAGAAACTGATTTTTTTCTTTTAATCTTAAACGTGAAGGGAGGACTTTGGGCTTTTTTTGTTGATTTGATAATTATCACCAGAGAATATATTTCTTCCATTGGTTTTCAGAGAGAGTATAAAGGAGAAAGGAGAAGAGGGACAGAGAGAGAAAAATCGATGCGAGGGAGACACATCGCCTGGTTGCCTCCAGCAAAAGTCCCGACCTGGGGGTGGGAGAGAATCTAAAACCAGGTACATGCTTTTGACTAGGAATCAAACCCAAGACTCTTCAGTTCTCAGTTCGACACTTTAACCACTGAGCAACACTGGCCAGGGTTTTGGGGCTTATTTTAATACAATGGCATTGTTCATTCTTTGTGGTTCCCCCGTCTTTGCAACAAACAGAAAAATTCCAGACAAAATATAAAAACAAACCACCAATATACCTACGTACCAAAACATGTTAAACATCTCAATGGATCAAAAATCTAACAGGAACACAAAGTGTGAGCCAAGCTGAAGCCAGGAGGCCTCCTGGGCTATGGGCCCCAAAGCAGGAAAATCAACAGGAAGTTGATTTTATAGGGTAATCGTAAATTCAAGGATTCCATGTAAAGCAGGGTAGTAGCCAAGCTCTTAGGTTAAAACCAGGGGCAGGGTGCCACTTCTGATTATAAAACCAGACTGAAAAAGACTTCTGCTAACTGCACTGAGGCTACAGCTTGGGGTGCTGCTGACCTAATGCCAGCTGACTCGGTGACTAAGTCTGTGATATCCTCAATGTCACTATGGGTCAGGGCTCTGATACGGGAATACCAAAGCCAGCAAGAGGCAACTATAAATCTGCTATAGACCAGCTGGGAAAAATCACAAAAAGAGATCGAGGGAGAGAGAGAAACAAAAGGAAAAGAAAAAGAATTCTCATCAGAATGTGCCTGAAAAACTACAGAACTTAAAGAAAACACCAACAATATCAACAACCACAACATAAATTCACTGGACAAAAAAATTTAAAAATAATCCAATGACCTAAAAAAGACTTTAAAATAAACATGTAAAAGACTCATAATGAGATAAAAGAATAAAAAAGAATCAGAAAATTAAAAAAAAAAAAAAAAAAAAAAAAAAGCGGAGGTGAGAAAACAACTAGTGGACATTTAAAAAAAATTTTAAAAATCTTACAGCCCTGGACAGTGTGGGACATTTGTTATGGCCTCAGTCCCATGCACCACAGGGTCTCAGAGGTTCAACTCAATTCCCAATCAAGGGCATGTACCGGAGTTACAGGTTCAATTACCAATTCTCAGCCCTGGCCAGGGTGTGTGGAGGTAACCAATTGATGTCTCTCTCACATCTATATTTCTCTCTCCCTATCCCCTTCCTCCCTTCCATTCTATCTAAAATCAATGGGAAAATATCCTCAGGTGAGAATTAACAAACAAACTAAAAATTCTTGCAAATAAAATATAGCCATTGTAATTTACATGTAATAACGGGCTCTGAGTTCTTAGGGGCAGCTGTGTATAAGACATTGTTAGACACTGAGACTCAGAAAGTAAAGATACATGGCACCTGTCTTCAAAAAAATCACCATATGGAACAGTGATACTAACAAAACATTAAGATTACACTTCTAGAAATATATTCCAAGAGGCTAGAAATCAGAAAAAATATATGCACCCCTATGTTCATAGCAGCATAATTCACCATAGCTAAGATTTAGATTTGGAAAAAGCCTAAATGCACATGAGCAGATGAGTGGATTAAAAAACTATGGTACATCTACATAATGAAATACTATGCTGCAGTAAAAAAGAAGGAATTATTACCATTTGCAACAGCATGGATGGAACTGGAGAGCATTATGCTAAGTGAAATAAGCCAGTCAGAGAAAGATAAATATCACATGATTTCACTCATTTGTGTAATACTATAGGTCTAGTGCACAAAATTCCTGCCTTGGGGTCCGAGGGTGTCCCTCAGCCCAGCCTGCACTCTTTCAAAGTCCAGGAGCCCTCGGGGGATGACCAACTGACGGCTTAGGCCTGTGGGAAATGGGCCAGCCAACCCGTCAGACATCCTTAGTGCCGCCACGGAGGTGGGAGGAGCTCCTGCCACCACCTCTACACTAGCCAGCCATGAGCCCAGCTTCTGGCTGAGCAATGCTGTCCCTGTGGGAGTGCACTGACCACCAGAGAGCAGCTCCTACATTGAGCGTCTGCCATCTGGTGGTCAGTGCGCATCATAACAACAGGTCATTCTGCCATTCAGTCCATTTGCATATTAGCCTTTTATTATATAGGATAATGAACAACATAAACTGATGAACAAAAACAGATCCAGAGACAGAGAAGCATCGATCAGACTGTCAAACCTCAGAGGGAAGGTAGGGGAGGGTGGGGATCAGGGGGAGAGATCAACCAAAGGACTTGTATGTATGCATATAAGCCTAACCAATGGACACAGACAACAGGGGAGTGAGGACATGAGTTGGAGGGGTAATGGGGAGATGAGGACACATATGTAATACCTTAATCAATAAAGAAATTTTAAAGAAAGATTACAAAGAAAAACAAAATTTAGTTAAATTTCAAAAATGTTAGTATTTTTTAAGTTAAAAGACTTGACATTTCTAAGTTTTCACAAACTAATATTTTCACCTTAGAGATGTGACTTTATATTAAATCAGTGATTTTCAACCTTTTCATCTCTTGGCACATATAAACTAATTACTAAAATTCTGCAACACACCAATATTATATTTTTTGCCGATCTGACAAAAAAAAAAGTAGGTATAATTTTGATTCATTTATACCTAATAGCTATTGTTGTGTTGGCTATCATTTTTTTTTTTTTTATTTGACTATCTAAGGAAAAAGAGATCAATGCCCCTGACTAAATAGTCAGGCATTGCATGTTTTAAAAATTCTTGCAGCACACCAGTGGGAAATCATTGCGTTAGATAAACATTCTCACAAAACTGCATATGAATAGAGCTGAAATAACAAAAGCAGCTTCTTTCTTAATCTGTATTTGAACTCATCTAGCAACTATCCTTGTTTATCCAAAGTGCACTACTGTGAAAATGTGCATACTGGAAAGTCTGAAACATCAAAGACTACTTCTTGCAATATTATTCTTAGTAGAAAGCCCTCAAAGATACCAAAATAACAACAGCTTCATTTTTATTTATCAACTAGAGGCCCAATGCACTTGATTCAGGCAAGGGCCTTGGCCCCTCCTGTGGCTGCCTCTGCTGCAGCCCCTGCCCGCCATGGCTTTGTCCAAAAGGACGCCCGGAAGGATGTATGGTCTAATTAGCATATTATGCTTTTATTATTATGGATTGCCTAATTATTTAAATTGTTCATAAGAAAAGGTACTCTGGTCAAAATTAAGGTAAATACAGGGTGGGGCAAAACTAGGTTTACAGTTGTGAGTATGCAAAACACAGTTTATTCTTATATTGTTATTTTAATTATTATATTATATTCCATATGAACTGTAAACCTCATTTTGTCCCATCCTGCATAATCAATATAAATAATATGTAAAGAACTTTAAACTCCCTAATATTATAATAAAGAAATGCTCACTTCTTCCCCAAATTTTCATAATCAAAAAGCTGTCATATATCAACGTTATCATAGGGTTATGATAGGGTAAAATTTAAACTCTGTCCTCACTCTCTAAAAGTAAATAGTTAACACAAAATAGTAAAACCCAGTTCTCCTATTCACAAGCAGAAGTGGCTAGAAATGACAAAGAATATTACATATACAACTGAGAAGATAAAATCTACAACAAATTTGGTAAGTCTATAGAACAGACTTGGTTCCTTGTTCCATCAAAGATGTTGATAAAGAGAACTTTATTATTCTTTTCTTTGTTTGATTTTGTATTTGAACATAATATTAACCCATGTTACTCTATAATCACATTTCACACAATAAAACATCTGCTCATTAAGGCCAACTGCAATTTTCCCACCTTCATATTTCTAATGAGTCATTTTCCAATAGCTAGTCAATAGAAAATTATAGATAATAGAACCATAAATCAGCCAAGAAGTTAATAACACAGATTTCCTTACCACATTCAACTTCTTAGAATAAGTCAAACAACAAAAAGTATCACCTTGTTTAAATAGAGAGAAGTGCACAGTCCTGCATAAAACAGATTATCCAATCTCTTGGATGAAATCACATAATTCCAATTTGTCCAGTAACAATTTTTTTCTCTTTTTAAGTACAACACTGCAAATGCTCCTGAGACTACTGAAATGAATAAAGAAGGACACTTACTCATGACTGGAAATGTCTCTGTATGTTGCCCCAATCAGATATTAAGCCAAAATCTGCTGTCCAAGGTTTCTCGGAGGAATACATGTCCTGGTCAAAAAACAAAGAAAAATAAGCATATTTTGTGAGGGTATTTAAAATTAAGTTTTCTAAATGGAGATGAATATAATTTAGTTTAAAATTTTCTTTGTCCAAAAGAACCTCTTAGTGCCATCTATAATAATAAAAGCATAATATGCAAATTGACCTAATGACTGAACAGCAGAACAACCATTGGGATGACCTTCCAGACAACCATGCTATGACAACCCCTGGCACCAGGCCAGCCAAGGTGAGTGTGATGCGATTGGTTGGGGGCCCAGCCATCACCCCATGATTGCCCTGCAGAGGAAGAGCCAGGCACCCAGTCAGCAGGGTGATCAATCGATTGGGGGACTCCACCATTGCCCCAAAGAGGGAGGCCCAGGCCACCAACCAGTGTTCTGAGGCAAGTGGGCAGGGCCTCCCTCTGCGGGGGCGATCCATGGCGGAACCCAGCTAAGTGGGCAGGACCTACCTCTTTGGGGCAATTGGTGGTGGAGCTCCATGATCAATCGCCCCAAAGAGGGAGGCCCTGGCTACCCAGAGGGGGCATTGTGGCAAGTAGGCAGGGCCTCCCTCTGTGGAGGCAATTGATTGCAGGGCTCCCGGACTGTAAAAGTCTAAATATAACAAAACTAGAGGCCCAGTGCACAAAATTCACACATGAAGGGGGTTTCCCTCAGCCCAGCCTGCACCCATCCAACCAGGGACCCCTCAGAGGATGTCCAACCACCGGACACCCCTCTCACAGTCTGGGACCACTGGCTCCTAACCATTCACCTGCTTGCCAGCCTGATCGCCCCTAACCCCTCTGCCTGCCTGCCTGCCTGCCTGCCTGAACGCCCCCAAGTGCCCTCCCCAGCCAGTCTGATGTCACCACCCACTGCCTCTGCCTGCCTGATCACCCCTAACTGCCCTCCCTTGCTGGCCTGATCTCACCCCCAACTGTCCTCCCCTACCAGCCTAGTTGCCCTCAACTGCCCTTCCCTGAGGGCTGATCTTGCCCCCAACAGCCCACCCCTTGCTGGGCTAATCTTGCCCCCAACAGCTTTTGAAACAGATTAAAGTTAGGATAACATTCTTTGAAGAAATAATGCTTGCCCCATATATACACTATATATATATATATATATATATATATATATATATATATATATATGAAGTATAAATTTACAAACTGACCATCTATATGAACAGTATGGCTCCTATACTATAATTAACAGTGGCATACAATCATAGTGCTGTCATGTAATCGCCTGACCCCTATCTCATATGCTTTTTTCTTTATCTATACAGGCTACTATTAAATTATTTTCATTTCCAGATAATCCAATTACCACAAAGGAAATGAGAAGTTATATGGAAAATTCAAAATTTATCATCTACATGTTACTTTTAGACTACACAATGGAAGTTACTCACTATCAATACTCTTTATGAATGGTATTTCACTGAGTCTATCAGAGTTATTTGCCATCCCAGGAACTATGAGGTTGACATGCTGAATGATGTAGAAAGGCAATCCCATGTTACAAATACACAAAGTAAATGAAATGTTCACAGACGACCCAGGAGTTCGTTTGCTTACACTTTTACAGTCTAATCTCTTTGACTGGAGACTTTTCTTTTTATTCATGTTTGAATCAGATTTTTTAATCTTAAACTTAAAAATACCAAAATGGCAACATCAAAGCACTTTGTATTAAGCAGTGTGCTCCTTCATTCCATAATCCTAAATTGCCAAATAAGTAATTATTCCAGGATTGAAGTTCCCAAGATATCAAGAGTTTTTTCAAGAAGAACAAAGTACGTTGGATCTCAATACCATATTTCAAGCTGTACTACAAAGCCACTGTTCTCAAAACAGCCTGGTACTGGCACGAGAACAGACATATAGACCAATGGAATAGAATAGAGAAACCAGATATCGACCCAAACCACTATGCTCAATTAATATTTGACAAAGGAGGCACGAACATACAATGGAGTCAAGGCAGTCTCTTCAATAAATGGTGTTGGGAAAATTGGACAGATACATGCAAAAAAATGAAACTAGACCACCAAATTACACCATATAAAAAAAAATAAACTCAATGCCGAAACCGGTTTGGCTCAATGGATAGAGCGTCGGCTTGGGGACTGAAGGACCCGGGTTCGATTCCGGTCAAGGGCATGTACCTTGGTTGCGGGCAAATCCCCAGTAGGGGGTGTGCAAGAGGGAGCTGATCGATGACTCTCTCTCATGGATGTTTCTAATTCTCTATCCCTCTCCCTTCCTCTCTGTACAAAATCAATAAAATATATTTTAAAAAATAATAATAATAAAAAAAAACCCTCAAAATGGATACAGGACTTAAACATAAGACGGGAGGGAAACCATAAAAATACTAGAGGAATCCACAGGCAGAGAAATCTCAGACATATGCCAAAGTAATTTCTTCACCGATACCACTCCTAGGGCAACGGAAACTAAAGAGAAAATAAACAAATGAACAACATCAAAATAAAAGGGGTAGGGGAGGCTGGGGGAAGGTCTATTGGGGGGGGGGGAGGGGAGATATATGTACTATTATTTGTAATACTTTAAACAATAAAACAAAATTTAAATAAATAAACAGTTAGAAAACCCGTGGAAATTACTAATGCAGGAAAATGCTTTAAATAGAGCATTTTACCCTCTAATAAACCTGCAGTGCACCTCTGCTTCATTAGCTTTCTTTCTTTTCTAAAAATTTTAATATACTTCTTTATTGATTTCAGAGAGGAAGGGAGGAGAGATAGAAAAAAACAGGAATTTATTTGGGGGGGGGGGGGAGTTTTTTCAGCTCTGGCCAGTGTAGCTCAGTTGTTGATTGGGCAGTTCTATGTTTTTATTAATATTTTCATCTTTTAATATACTTAAATTCTTTGTAGAATAAGAAGACAAAATAATTCTTTCTCATAATTTTTAACTTCCTAATCAGTTTCTACTTCAGAAACTTTTAGCATTCAACTATGAACTTTTCCATTTTTATCATTCAAGGTAAGAACATTTCCAACTAAAACTAAAGATATCAGAAATATGTTTCCAAGATTTTTGTACCCAAATGGTTTGTACACCCTCTTATTAGATGGCACCTAAAAATGCTTGATAAAATATAAGGATTAGCCTTTTAAATGCACAGCAAAACTCACAAGAACTCCAAGACAAAAGTAAAATAAATAAATAGGAGCACAGAGTGTAGGCAATGATGCTGGCAACTGCCCTTAGAAACATTTGACAATCTCGCATAACTAAGCTGCACTGTCCAATACCGTAGCTACTGGCCACATGTAGCCATTTAATTTTAAATTAATTAGTTAGGCAACATTTTAAGTTCCTAAATTAATATTAATGCTATATTTAAATATACAAATGAAATGAATATTAATGCTACATAGTTTCTTTCTCAAACTAGCCACATTCCAAATATGGCTATAGCTACTATATTAGCACAGATATAAAGTATTTCCAGTTACAAAAATTCTACTGGACAATGCTGAAGGGCTTTCAGAATTAACAGTGTGCATAAGATAAAGCCAAACCTTTATGCTATATAATATGGGAAGTCAGACTACAGATAAGCACATAAAGCCTGGCACCTGAAGGACTAGATCTTCAATAACAGTAATAAACAATGAAAAAAAAAAAAATACCCCAAAGGGATGCTATAAGGAAAATTCTGCCAAGTATAGGTTTATTTGTATTTGGGGAGGGGAGAGTATTCCCTGGAAATCTATAACCAAACCAACCTTCACACAAGCTTCAAGTTCAAATTCAAATTACTTGTACGTTGAGAAAATCTTAAGCCTAGAAATTAAGTGGCCTTGGGTTGACAGTGTCCTTAACTGCAAATTCCCATGGGAGAAAGGTATTAACTCAGGTCTCATAAAGCATTTCCACAGATGAAGATATAATAAAAATGAGCTCAAAATGTAAAACTATGCATAATAAGTAAAATTCAACAGAAATAAGTAGACTATTCAAAAAAACTTAAAAAAAAAAAAAAAAAACAGCAATGTTGCTCTGACCGGTTTACTCAGTGGATAGAGCGACACCTGCGGACTGAAGGGTCCAAAGGTTCGATTAAGATCAAGAGTATGTACTGTGGTTGGGGGCATATCACCAGTAAGGGGTGTGCAGGTGGCAGCTGATCAATGTTTCTCTCTCATCAATGTTTCTAACTCTCTATCCCTCTCCCAGGAAAAAAAATCAATGAATATATTTTTAAAAAGCTTCCAAATATAATATAAAATTGAAACTACCGTATGAATAAAAAAGGGAACAGATTTGAAGAATGAAATGAAAACAGAACCTGCCAAACCTGTCAGCTAGAATTAAATGCTCATAGTGGTACACCACTGAAATTTAGCAGTTGTTTGTTACACAGCAAAAGATGGCTAATGCAGAGGATAAATATGTTCATTTTAAATGCAAATAAATTTGTGAGTTTTAATTTTACTAAAATATTTTACTCACTAAATTTGTGAATATATACATACATACACATAATGCCATTTATATAAAGTTCCAAAATACAAAAAAAAAAAAAGTTCCAAAATACGTAAAATTAGCAATATGTTCTTTAGGGACATAAGCCTATCTATAATAATAAAAGTGTAATATGCTAATTAGACTGAACAGTCAAACAACTTCCCGGATGTCCTTCCGATGACCTTCCAGATGAAGCCGTGACTACGAGAGCTGAGGCAAGCCCCTACGGCTGCAAGGGCTGAGCCCCTTGCACGAATTTCGTGTATCGGGCCTCTAGTCTATAACAATAAAAGTATAATATGTAATTAGACCACATGTCCTTCCGGACGACCTTCAGGACAAATCTGGGGCTGCAAGGGAAGCCCAGGTCCCAGGTGCCTGCTGGCAGCCAGAGAAAATACCCGGGTCCCGAG